GTCCGGTACATCATTTTCCTATCGAGACCTCGTTCAACACATTTTGGCTTCTCCGATGAGGTGACCTTCCGGGGGGATGCCCCTCAGTATTCGAGGTTGATTGAAGAGAAGCCTTGAATACTTGTTGAGCCTTCCTTAGGTAGCATATAGATGTTGCCTCGTTAAAAACCTTGTCGGTAAAAACCCTTTTTTGGGATAAAAAAACCCGATCGAAGGAAAAGAGTGCAACGCATGCCTTTGAACCCTAAGGCTTTTGAGCTTTTAGCAGTAATAGCGTTTGAGCATCGATACATTCCAATTGCTTGGAAGCTGTTCGCCCTCTATGGTGCTGAGTTTGTAGGATCCTTTGCCGACCACCCCGAGGACGCGGTACGGTCCTTCCTAGTTTTGACCTAGCTTTCCTTCATTGGGGTTTCGAGTATTCAAGGTGACCTTCCTTAGGACTAAGTCCCCGATTGCAAAATTTCAGAGATTCGTCTTTCTGTTGTAGTATCTTTCGATTCTCTATTTGTGCGGCCATTCGGACCAGCGAGGCTTCTTGCCTTTCATCCAGTAGTTCGAGAGCAACAGTCATGGCCTCGTTGTTTGAGCTCTCGGTGGCATGTTGGAATCTGGCGGTTGGTTCTCCAACCTCAACTGGTATCAAAGCCTCGGCTCCATATACCATAGAGAAAGGCGTTTCCCCCGTGCTTGATTTTGGAGTTGTGCGATATGCCCATAGTACTTCGGGTAATATTTCTCTCTATCTTCCCTTTGCACTTTCAACATCTTTTTTAGATTTTGAATGATGGTTTTGTTCGTGGATTCAGCCTGGCCGTTTGCACACGGGTGATAGGGCGTCGACGGGATTCTTTTGATGTTGTGATCCTCGAGGAACTGGGTCACTTTGCTTCCGATGAATTGCTTTCCGTTATCGCATGTTATCTCGGAAGGAATTCCGAACCGGCACATGATATGGTCCCAGATGAAGTTAATGACTTCTTTTTCTCTTATCTTTTCGAAGGCCTGTGCTTCAACCCATTTTGAGAAGTAGTCAGTCATAAATAAAATAAATCTAGCCTTACCTGGTGCCATTGGTAGAGGTCCGATGATGTCCATCCCCCATATCATGAATGGCCATGGTGACAAAACTGAATGTAGTTGTTCACCGGGCTGGTGAATCATCGGGGCGAACCTCTGGCATTTATCGCATTTGCAGACAAATTCTTTGGTGTCCTTTTCCATGCTGTCCCAATAGTAGCCTGCTCTAATTATTTTTCGAATTAAGGAATCGTCACCGGAGTGATTTCCGCAGGTGCCCTCGTGGATTTCTCGGAGCACATAGTCTGTGTCTCCCAGCCCAGACATACTGCTAGGGGGACATCAAAAGTTCTTCTGTAGAGAGTTCCGTTTTCATCGAGCGAGAATCGGGCCGCTTTGGTTCGTAGGGCCCTCGACTCTTTTGGGTCTGCGGGTAGCTTCTCGCTTTCCAAATAATCGGTATATTTATTTCTCTAATCCCATGTTAGGCTAGTGGAGTTGATTACGGCATGACCTTCTTCGATTACTGATTTAGTTAATTGAACAACAGCCCCGGGGAGTATGTCATCTTCCTCGACAGACGATCCCAGGTTTGCGAGGGCATCGACTTCGCTATTCTCTTCTCGAGGTATGTGAACCAGAGTCCATTCTTTGAAGCGGTGCAATGTGACTTGCATTTTGTCCAGGTATCTTTGCATCCTGTATTCCCGAACCTCGAAGCGCCCATTTACTTGGTTTACCACCAGGAGGGAATCGCATTTTGCTTCAATGACTTCAGCTCCTAGGCCTTTGGCCAATTCTAGACCTGCAATCATAGCCTCATACTCGGCTTCATTGTTAGTTAACCTTGCGGTTTTTATAGATTGTCTAATCACGCCGGTCGTAGGTGGCTTTAGAACTATGCCGAGCCCGGATCCTCTTACATTCGAGGCGCCGTCAGTGAACATGGTCCATACCCCGGAAGATGTGCCCGTTTTAAGCAAAAGTTCTTTCTCGACCTCGGGTACGAGGGCGGGAGTGAAGTCGGCTACGAAGTCTGCCAAAATTTGAGACTTGATAGCCATTCGGGGCTGATACTCGATATCGTATCTCCCGAGTTCGATGGCCCATTTGGCCAGCCGGCCCAACAATTCGGGTTTATGTAATATGCTCCGAAGGGGGTATGTTGTTAAAACAGAAATACGATGGCATGGAAGTAAGGTTTCAATTTTTGAGACGCGCTTATTAATGCAAGAGCTAACTTTTCCAGGTGTGGATACCTGGTTTCGGCATCGCCTAGGGTCCGACTTACATAATAAACAGGGAATTGCGTACCTTGTTCTTCTCGAACCAGCACACCACTTACCGCTATCTCGGATACGGCCAGATATAGATACAACGTATCATCTTCTTTTGGGGTGTGGAGTAAAGGAGGGTTCGTTAGGTATCGCTTCAACTCTTCTAAGGCGTGTTGGCACTCCTGCGTCCATTCAAAGTTGTTTTTCTTGTTTAGTAAGGAGAAGAAATGGTGACTACTGTCTGACGATCTCGATATGAACTGTCCCAAGGCTACTATCCGTCCGGTCAGCCGTTGCACGGCTTTTACGTTGTTTACCACCGTAATTTCCTCGATGGCTTTGATTTTGTCGGGGTTGATCTCAATCCCTCTGTTTGATACCATGAAACCTAAGAATTTGCCCGATCCTACCCCGAAGGCGCATTTCTCGGGATTGAGCTTCATGTTGTAACTTCTGAGGATGTTGAACGTTTCCTGCAAATGAGTCAAATGGTCCTCTGCGCACAGGGACTTAACTAGCATATCGTCAATATAGACCTCCATGGTTTTGCCTATTTGATGCTCGAACATCTTATTAACTAGGAGTTGGTATGTGGCCCCTGCGTTTTTCAGCCCAAAGGGCATTACATTGTAACAGTATGTGTCGTACTTTGTGATGAACGAAGTTTTTTCTCGATCCTCGGGATTCATCTGAATTTGATTATACCCCGAATAGGCATCGAGAAAAGTGAGGTTTTCATGGCTGGCCGTGGCATCGATCAAACGATCGATGTTGGGCAATGGGAACGAGTCCTTGGGGCATGCCCTATTTAGATCTTTGTAATCTACGCACATTCTTAGTTTATTCCCCTTTTTGGGAACTACCACCACATTGGCCAACCATTCGGGATATTTTACTTCCCTAATAGACCCTATCTTGAGGAGTTTTGTTACCTCGTCTTTGATGAATTCATGCTTTACCTCGGACTGGGGTCTCCTTTTTTGTTTCACCGGTTTGTATCTGGGGTCGACACTTAGTCGATGGGTGGTTATCTCCGGCGGGATCCCTGTCATGTCTAAATGGGACCAAGCGAAGCAGTCGATGTTGTTAATAAGAAATTGAATGAGTTCTTTCCTGAGTTCGGGGGTCAATCCCGTCCCCAGGTGTACCTTACGATCCGGGAGATGCTCGATCAATATGGCTTGCTCTAGTTCTTCAATAGTCGACTTCGTCGCATCCGATTCTTCGGGGGCGACGAAGGTTCTGGGAGCAAGGAAATCTTCTTCGTCATCCTCGGGGGTATGTTGGCTCTCCAACTCTTCCGAGGTGGAGAGTACAGAATTCGGTACCTCATCATGGACCGCGAACATTTCTTTTGCCGCATACTGCTCTCCATATACTGTCTTTATTCCGTCCTTTGTAGGAAACTTCATCATTTGGTGCAGGGTCGATGGCACTGCCTTCATATTATGTATCCAAGGCCTACCGAGCAAGGCATTGTACCTCGCATCTCCCTTAATGATGTGGAATCTGGTATCCTGAACTGCATCGGATATGCTGACCGGGAGGGTGATCTCTCCTTTTGTTGCTTCGCCGGCCATATTGAAGCCGTTGAGGATTCGGGAGGTAGGTATGATCTGGTCGAGTAATCCGAGTTGTTCTACCACCGTCGATCTGATTATATTGGCCGAGCTACCTGGATCCACGAGTACACGTTTGATTTGAATGTTATTTAAGAGAAACGAGATTACCAGCGCATCGTTGTGTGGATGAGACAGAGTCTCGAAGTCTTACTCGCTGAACGCGAGGATGTCCTCAGGTACGCAACCCTGAGTTTGCCCTTGTGTTGCTGCGGAAACCTTTATCCGCTTGATCACGGGCCCCTAGGGAACGTCGGTCCCTCCTATAATCATATGGATGACGTGCTGAGGTTCTTCCGGTTCACTCTCCCTATTTGCCTTTCTTTCTTCCCGGGTGGGGTTCTCCCGAGTGTCTTGTTGATTTTCTCGGCGCATACTCCTGTTGGTGTGGGAACTTACGCCAACGTGTTGAGTGTTGCATGAGACCATATCGACGGAAATCGGTTCTGGTGTGACCTCAGGGTTTTGTGGTGGCATACCAACACCTGGAATAGCTACACCGTTTTCTCTATGGTCCTCCAGACTGTTGTTTTCATGTGCGTTTACTGAGTTAGACATTTTGACCTGAAATCAAAGATCTTGGACAAGAAATAGCATAAAAGTTAACTTGTGTTATGTAGTGAACCAGCAAGAGAATAATCACTATTATTTTTAGCCCCACGGTGGGCGCCAAACTGTTTACCTTGAAAATAGTAATAACAATTAGATTTGATTTTGTGGTTCTAAAAATATATGATCTATTTTTATGCTAGTTGTTTAGTAGATGCTAAGTGACGAGGTTAGAAAATAAGATAAGAAATTGAAGATAGCTTTAGAAACCAAACCAAACGGTTGAGAATCGGGGCCTCGAGCTAGCGCGCGCGGGGCCTCGATGTCGAGTCAGATACTCATAAAGGGTCCGATGAAGGATTAACAGCCACTAGGGTTGTGATTGCAGCTCTTTATGACCAATAACAAGCAATAAATGAAGAACAGTTAATGAGATATAATAAATGTAAATAAAGCAATAAATGTAGGCAATAGAACCAAATAGAGAGTATGTTTGAGTTAGAGAGCAGAAAGAATGTTCTTGTATTGAATGAAGTATCTTGTGTGTTGGAGAGAGTTCTTTTACAAAATGTTAAGGCCCCCCTTTATAGATGAGGGGAACCTTAATATGATACAAGTGCATTTATTACATAAGTAGCCCGTACAATCACTCAATCAGCCTGGCGCAGGCTGTCACTGTCCGCGCAGGCGTTGTCAGAGAAAGTACTGCTCCAAGGGAACTTCCCGCTCACTTGTGATAACCACCGGTTCGTTCTACCTCGATATCGGGCACGAAGAGTCCTCGAAGACTTCGAACCCCGAGCCATTCCCTCGGCCCCTCGGGGTGAAATTGCGCAATGTCTCGCCGATCGTGGAATCGGCCTTTCCGATTTTGGCCGCATACAAATCGCCTACAAGAAAAGCCTTGAATCTTGAATTTACCGTAAATTTGAGGTATTGGTTATGATAATAAGCAGGGTTATATCAGATAAGCTAAAACATGGCACAACTGGAAAATTTGATGCTGCAACAAAAAGGACAATCTTGCTGCTTTAACATGATAGTTAAACCTTAATGTAAACCCCTCCCTTGTCAAATGAGTATGCAAATAGTTAGTCAGTTTATCTACTTGTTTAATGTTCAGAAACTCAACTGAGATATACAGTCAACAAAACAAATCTCAAGTATGAGGATCTGCCCAACAAATGTATAGAGAGGGACATAGAGATTCAGGCCTCTGCACAAACACAAGAAATCGTTCAATAGAAGCACCAGAACATGTCCACGGAAGCAGAAGAATTCCTGTGCAAGCATCAGAACAATGTCAGTTTGGTATTACGAGGCACTATAAGAAATTGATGCAAAGCCATAAACTGATGTCTTGTTCCCTCTACAATTAATTCTATAATTAACTAAACAAAAATTTGTTTTTTGTGTGTGTGTGTGGAGGGGAGGGGGGGGGGGGGGGGGTCTTTAGGCTACAGGTTCATAGACTATATTCTGTAAAATGGTAACAACTTAAAAAGGGAAGATGAAAACAAGCAACTCTTTAAAAAGGAAAATTATTTGGCTAAAGGTGCACCTGTGATACTACTGCTAAAGGTGGATACTACAGCAGACGATCCGCTCCTACTGTAGCAAATAACTTAAAACCTGAAAATGACAACATATTTCTGCATCAAGAGTACAGTAAGCATCCGCTTCGTCTATAGTTACCTTCTTGAGTGATAAGTACTGATAGATCTCGATTAGGAGTCTCTGTAATCATAATCAAGGAGATAGATGACATAAACTCTTTTCCAGAATTTAGAGAAGCTAGATAGCAGCTTTACCCTCACATTGCTTAAAAATGTAAAGCATAAAAGAAGAGCCAACAATAATTCTAGATGAGTTCGCTCTGAGATTACTCATGATTCAGAGAAGAGAGGACACATTTAGACTTTGTTTTGAAGACTGCATATGCCCAAAGTTAACTATTCTTCTCCTTAAAGCACCACCATCATACTGAACTGACACTAATCCAAGTATAATACGTAAGCGTAACCCCTTTTTACGTAATACAGTTTACCACGGTATGTTATCTGATGAAATAATCACTGTATATTTCTCCGGGAAGGAAAAATATTTTTCTCCCTATGAAGTAATCAAATACGAGGGGAAATGAACAAGAAAACCTGAAAATGTTCTTGGAATATTTCTATACAGCATCATCTCAAGCATTAAGCAATATATTAACCCTCACTTCCGTTGCCAAAGAAAGGAGAGACAAGACTAGGAGTGGCAAACGGGTGGGGCGGGTCGGATACGGTTCGGGTTGAAAACGGGTAATGAAAAAACGGATCAATTATCCGACCCGACCTATATTTAATATGGATAAAAAACGGGTTAACCGGCGGATAGTATGGGTTACCCATATTATCCATGACTTCTTGTATATAATCACTTTTGGGAGGATTCTTAGTCTCTCTAACTTGAGGAACCCCCAATTTGAGGCTTTACAAATGTAAAAGTTAGACCCATTGGTTATCCATTGGTTACTTATTGGTTATCCATTTTCTATATGGATAATATGGTTCTTATCCATATTTGACCCGTTTTTAAAAAGTTCATTATCCAACCCATTTTTTTGTGGATAATATGGGTGGTTAACTGTTTTTTTTTAACCATTTTGCCACCTCTAGACAAAAGACTATTCATGAAGATTTGAGCCTCATATATGTAGGAGTTATATCAACCATCAAATCCCTCAGATTGCTTAAAAACATTATGCACAGAAGTGGTCTACTTTACATGTGTTGTCTGTGAGATTAACTCATGATTTTTTTTATTCCGTGTTTGGTTGGATTTTCCTTCCGGTATAAGCAATACCAGGATTATGGTATCCACAATTCTGGTATTATTTTATACTATATTCAATATGGGATTCTAATAGAAAGAATACATATGACTTCACACCATAACAAAAAATGGTCCATGTTTTTAAGTTTTACCCAACCTAGCTTATATTGTACATATTTTGAAAGCACTAGCAAATTCAAAACTTGTGTTCTCACAACCATTGCTTCTAAAAGCTATGGAGTTAAATATGTGTTCTCACAACCAATGCTTTCACTCTTTCTTCTCACATCTTCTACATATGCTTCAAGGGGCCGTCTGTCATTGCTGCTTCTTACCCTGTGTCACATGGTTGCAATGTAAGAAAATTGAAGAGTAGAAGTGCACCATTGAAGGCCATTTAAAGCTTTACTTTCGAAAATAAGATTTTTTGAGTTTGTTAGTTGTTTGGATTGGGTGTTGTTCCAATTGATTGAAAATATCAAAAGGAGATCAAAATTTAAATTTGAAGTGATTTAGAGTAGATTTGAGCAAGATTTCAATTAAATTTTAGAAAAGACGCAAGGAAGAACACGAAGTCAGTTTTTTGTATAATTATGTATAATCTTGTATAATAGTGTATATGAGTGCATAAACACATCTTATACACTATTATACACTTTTATACACCTTTATACAAGCGTCTGTAGACGAACTTCTTCCACGATTTTCAGTGCAATTCTTGTTCAAAACCAGTCCAAATCTCCATTAAATGACTTCAAATTTTATATACAACCTCCTTATACTATTTCTAACAAGTCTAAATAACACTCACTCCAAATTTCTCACAAAATCAAATTCGAAATTTAAAAACCCACATGTTTAAGCTTGTTAAAAATTTAATTTTCATCGTCCAAATGGATTTGGTTTGTTGAACTAATATTTGAGCCACTGTTACTGATTTGAAAATTAACTTAAAAGCTTGAGCTATCTTTTTAAAAAATTAGATAGCAATTTCTAGAACCTATTGGAGTTAGATGTTGAATCTTAGCCTATTATTTTTAGGTTAATTAGTTGTAAATTGAAATATGAGCTATAAAATTGAAAAGCAGGGAGCTCAATTGTTCTTATCTAAAAAAATTCCCTCTAATACGAGGATTAGCAGTCTTTGGATAAAACACCTGAAAGTTCAAAATATCCTTGATTGCGTCTTTCTTTTTTCTTAATTACTTTAAAGATAAGGGTAAATTATAAACATAACTTTATCCAACTTAAAACCAAATGCATGCTTTTCATCATACACCATGTATCCCATTTTCAATGCAATGAACCAAACAGTCATCAAAAAAGTATATGCACAAGGGATTATTAATCCTAGTATTACGATCCTTACAGATCCCGGCATAACTTTGTATACAAACCAAACGACCCCTTAATCACTGTATATTTTCTTCAGGAAGAATTACCATCAATAAACTATATGACACGAAAGTATTCCTATTTACAAAACTCTATGGGGTTAATACCATTCAAATAATTAAAAATCAATAAGAAATTGCGAACGAAGTTCATGTAGTACCTGTATATAGCATCATCTCAGAAGGTGGGAGGAACAAGACTCTAGTTCCAGCTCTATACGACATAGGAGGAGTTCTATCATCCATTATATCCCTTCTACTGATCCTCTCTCCTATTGTAGGCAATCAAACTTGCACATGCATCTAGTACAACATCATCCTCACTCATAAAACACAATGGTATCAACCCAGCGTCATCCGGTCCTTTAACTTCAAATTTGGTGCAAGACTCCTCAATCCCATAGTCTTTCATCGTCCACATAGTATTCTTTATTATCCAAGTAGTATTTGTTTCTTCTGTTTCAGACAAAATACAAAGACACCCTCTGAGAGCCACAAGCTTACTGATCACATGTTTACCCTTGTCAATAGTAGTAGGTCCTGCACCTGAAAAAATTTCGAAAGCAACAATTACAGGTGAATAGTCAGAATCTTCACTAGCCAACCAATGCAAAGCCCCATTTACTAAAACCCCATTTTCCCAAATCCCTCTTACGAAAACCCCATATGCGACGTCAGGGAACCACCTCAAACGGTTAGGACCTGACCAATACAAAGCCCTTTTAACCTAAACCCTAGAAGCACGCTCAGGAACTGCACAATCATTAGAATAGAGTCTCCCCCAAAGACTCTCTTTGCTCTGTAGTAGTCTCCTCCAAAGACCCTTTCTCACAGAGTACACAGCCACAGAAGTATTAAAAATATCATGTGTATCAGCATAATCAGTAGCATAATAAGAAAGTGTAACTACCTTATAATCATCACTACGAACATCATACCCTAGACCATACATTCTAAAGCCACGATTGAAGCATTACCAGAATCTGGAATTCTATGGTACTTTAACGTCGTGGGGTTAATTAAAAATGTAATTTGTTTGTCATTTACAGCCAAGACCAAGCCATTACAGGAGCCACCGACAGTAACCCAGTTGTCTGAAAGCTGCTGCTGAAAGTCAAGCTTTCTTGAAACGACACCATTTCCATTTTGGTTAAAGGTTAAAGCGTGAAGAGACTGAGAACGACAGACAGTAATGAGCTTTTCTTCTTCATATTTGTGAGAATGAAAAGTGAGGTGAGCTTTAATGAGTTGTGGGCCTGAGAGAATAGAGCACCACTGCTTTGATACGCACCTGGATTGGCCTATCAACTTCGCCGGCAGACGGGAGAGTATCTCAGCTATCATTTCTTCATGTAGTTTTTCAAATTGTGTCCTCGCCATTGTTAGATTCGGAGGAGATTGGAATCTAAATTCTAAAGTAGTAGTAAGGAAACAATACCGAAATCAATTAGTAGTACGTAATGATTTGGGCTAAGTTGTTCGTAATTAGGCTTAGCCCATATTTATAGGGGTAAATTTTAAAAAAGCCAGATTTACAACTGGTCGTTCAAAAATAGCTAAATTTTAAAAGTAATCGAAATTTAGCCACTTTTTATATAAAGATAAATCTGAGCGAAAACACTGTTTAAAACCCGGAAAAATACTCCACTATATTATGCTTGAGTTCCAGCATAAGTATACTTGAACTCCAGCATATTATACTGGAGTTCCAGAATAAGTATGATGGAACTCCATCATAAATATGATGGAGTTCCATGCATAAGTACACTAGAACTCCAGCATAATATACTGGAGTTCCAGCAAGTATATTGGTCCAGTATAATATACTGGAGTTTGGAGCACCGGTGCTCCAGTCTCCAGTATATTATACCGGAGCCAGCAAAGTATACCGGTCTAGCATAATATGCTGGAGTTCATACACAAGTGCACTGAACTCCAGTATATTATGCTGGATCGGTCTCTATTGCAGCAAAATAGTGGCTATTTTTCATTGACTTGGTAAATGCTGGCTATTTTTGATTGACCAGTCCGAAAACTGGCTATACCGTGCTATTTTTACTATTTATAGGGATGTTTACATAAATAGGGGTAAAATTCAAAAATAGCCAAATTTACAAGTGGTAATTGAAAAATAGCCACAGTTTCAAAAGTAATCGAATTTTAGCCACTTTTCATGTAAAGATAAATCTGAACGAAAACATCAAAATTCGAAAAATATTCCAGCATAATATACTGGACTTCCAGCATAATATACTAGTCCAGCATAATATGTTAGAAGTTCATACACATGTGCTCCAATCTCCAATATATTATGATGGAACTTTTCGTACGTTGGAGTTCCAGCATAATATGCTGAAAGTTAAAATACAGGTGCATCAATCTCTAGTATATTATGCTGGAACTTTTCGTGTTGCGGTAAAATAGTGGCTATTTTTCAATGACTTTGCAAACGCTGGCTAATTTTTAATTACCTGTCCGAAAACTGGCTAGCCCGTGCTATTTTCACACAGTCACCCAGATTCATTGTTGGCCAGCATACATAGATTGTATACTGATTATACACGATTAAACATAAATTATATATAACTTGTAATGACCCGACTGGTCGTTTTACTTTCTAGAACCCCGTTCCCCTAAATAAGACTTCCTGTACTTGCTTTTACTGATTTATGACTTGCGGGGATGGTTGGTTCGGGACTTGGAAGAGTTTGAGTTGAAATCGGAACACTTGGTTCCTTAAGGTTGGCTTAAAGGGCCAAGTTTGACTTCGGTCAACATTTTTAGCAAACGACCTCAGAATCCAGATTTGAAGGTTCCAACAGGTTCGTATGATGCTTTCGGACTTGGACGTATGCCCGGATCGGGTTTTGGATGACCCGGGAGTGTTTTGACGCCTAATAGTGAAAGTTGATTCCTTAAGGATTTCTAAGTTCCTAAATATTTGGTTTGGAGCGGGTTTTTGTGTTCGAGGTTCAAACGGAACTTCGAGACCGGGAATAGTTCCGTATTGTCATTTAAGACTTGCACGCAATTTGGTGTCAATCCGAGTAGTATAAGTGTGTTTCGTCGCATTGGATGTGAATTGAAGAACTTGAAGTTCATAAGTTTGATCCAATTGATTTTAGGGGGTGATTCGTAGATTTAGTGTTGTTTCCAACGTTCTGAGGGTTCGAGCGAGTCCGTTTTATGATTTCAAACTTGTCGACATGTTCGGGCGGGGCCCCGGAGGCCCCGAGCGTCAATCGGACGAGGCTCAAGTTGAGTTAGAAAACTTGGGAAAGGGCTGAAGCTATAGTTTGCTGTCATAACCGCACCTGCGGTTGAACAGTCGCAGGTGCGAGACCGCAGGAGCGGTCCACCCATCGCAGATGAGGCCCCAGGGAGGGAACCCGAAAACCGCAGAAGCGACTCCTTTTTTGCAGGAGCGGGACGGGAGATGCATCCCCCAGCCAGCCCAAGCAAAGTCCGCACATGCGGACACTTCCTCGCAGAAGCGAGACCGCAGATGTGGTCCCTTAACCGCAGGTGCGAAAATCGCTGAAGGCAGTGCCTTCATTTAATACGGGAATGTGTCATTTTTGACACATTTCACTCATTGTTTGGGCAATTTGGGAGCTTCCAAGAGGGGATTTCAACCTAGCCATTGTGAGGTAAGTTACTCCACTTAATGTGAGTTTAATACTTGGTTCTTGGGTAGATTAACACCTAAAGATTTGTAGAAATCATGGGGTTAGAGTAAAACCTAGGGTTTTGATAAAAACAAGATTTTACCACAAAATTTGTTATGAAATGAAGTAAAAATCATATATTCTTAATCCTTAGGTTATGGGTAACAACTTCCCTCGAGAATTTCCAGAATCCGGGCACGTGGGCCCAGGGATGGATTTTAGGAAGCTTGTGTTTAGGGTCGGAAAATTGCTTTAATAGTTAGAATATGAACTCTTGAGCATGTATTGACTAGTTCTTACCCCGTTTGATTAGTTTCGGATCGTTCGGCTCCGAATTGAGGGTTTGAGCGTGTTCTTGATATTGGAGGTAAGCTTTGGAGCGAGGTGAGTCTCCTTTCTAACCTCGTAAGAGGGAAATAAACCCCTAGGTGAATTAAATAAATGTATGTGATTGTCTATGGGGGCTACGTACGTACGTGGTGACGAGAGTCCGTGCGTAGCTACTATTATGCTAATTGTCCGGGTAGTTTAGGACCTGTATCATGCCATATTTTCTATTGCTTACGTTCTTGCTTGCTACTGAGATCACTTAGGACATGGTAGGGATTGAAATAAATATAAATGAATGTACGCACTTACTTGAGAACTTGTATGAACTTATTTGACTATAAATGCGCCTTTATGTGCCTTCTTGATAATCATTGCTATATGTGGATCGGGCCGATCACCTCGGTAGAAATAGATGCATCTATGGTTTGCGCCATTCGACCCTCAAGCAGTGCATAGTTATTATTATGTTGGATTGGGACGTACGACCTCGGCATAATGTGCGCATGATATTTTTTTGGAATTCATCATGATTTACTCTGTTTAAATGCCTTGAAATTTAAGTAATTGCATGACGCGACTGAATTCGATATATATATATATATATATATATTGTTGCTCATTGTTCTGAAGCTGTCATTTTTCTACATGTCATCCATGCTTAGTGTAACCCATATATATTATTGATATTGACCTTAGTAAGTGTCAAGTCGACCCCTTGTCACTACTTCTTCGAGGTTAGACTGAATACTTGCCGGGTACATGATGTTTATGTACTCATACTACGCTTCTGTACTTAAATGTACAAGATCTGAGGCAGGTACATCTAGCTACCAGTCCGGTGCACGTCCCTGATTTGACCGAGATTCCACGGTGAGCTGCCCACTCCAAGCTATTCAGCAGCATACTGGAGTCTCTTCTTTTTGTTATTTCTGTCTATTCTGTTTCAGACAGTGGGATAGTTACATTCTTTTGTATATTCTACTAGTTGCCCTAGTACTTGTGACACTAGTTCCTGGCACACACTTTAGTAGACTATCATTTTGGGTTGTACTTATATTATTATGAAATTGGCAATTATCGATTGTTTTGATTATAAGTTAAGGGAAATTTTGGGAATGTTTAATACAATAATTGAAAACTTGCTAGTTGTTAGGATCGGCTTGCCTAACCACGGTGTTGGGCACCATCGCGACCTAGAGGGGAATTTGGGTCATGACAACATGGTATCAGAGCACTAGGTTCACGTAAGTCTCACAAGTCATGGGCAAACCTAATAGAGTCTTGCGGATCGGTACGGAGACGTCTGTATTTATCTTTGAGAGGCTATAGGGTGTTAGGAAACTACTCTTTATTCATCTCCTATCGTGCAGTTGATGGTATACTAAATTTTCTTCTTCTACTCTCTCACAGATAGTGAGGACGTGCACGGCAGACGTTCCAGATCCGGGGGAGCTGCTCCCCCCATTGCTAGAGGCTGAGGCAGTGGCTGGGGAGGGCACCGGACCGAGGTAGGGGACGAGGGTGTCCCAAAGCTATCCCAGTTGCACCATCGGCGGATCCTGCGGGGGATCCTATCATTGAGGAGCAGGGCGAGGTGCCCGTAACTGAGCCTACCCCGGCGGACTTTATGACAGCACCGGGTTTCCAGGAGGTCATGGGCTGCATGTTGCAGTTCATGGATACCATGACTCAGGCTTTCCAGAAAACCCAGCTACATCTTAGGCGGGAGGGGGAGCACAGACCCCTACTGCTCAGGCTCCTGGTTATGCAGCGGCAGTGTATCAGACTCCGGGTGCAGTACCCACGGATAGGGCTCAGCTAGTTGCTGCAGTGGCACCCGAGCCCAGACCGGCTGCAAACGGCGATCGGCAGAAGTTGTTGGACCGGTGGACTAGGCTACACCCTCCTATCTTCGAAGGCAAGCGTCATGAGGATGCCCAGGATTTCATTGATAGGTGCAGGGATAGACTGCACAACATGAGGATATTGGAGCCTTATGGGGTTGACTTCACTACATTCCAGCTGGAGGGCAGGACCCGTAGATGGTGGCAGTCCTATGTTCTTGGCAGACCAACGGGTTCTCCTCCCATTACTTAGGGTCAGTTCACACAGCTATTCCTAGATAGGTATATTCCACCCTCTGTGAGGGAAGAGCTGCGGTATCAGTTTGAGCAGCTTGAGCAGGGTCAGATGTCGGTGACCGACTACGAGGTGAGGTTGTTTGAGTTATCCCGTCATGCACTGATGATACTTCCTACTGACGCAGAGAGGGTGCGGAGGTTCGTTGCAGGGTGCATTCTGGTATTAGGGCCAACATGGCCCGAGGGGTGGAGATGGGGACTCCTTATCAGCTAGTGGTGGAGATTTCTTGGAGGATTGAGGGCTACCGTCTGAGAGGTACTAGGGAGCAGATGCAGCAGGACAA